TCAATGTTCTTATTCTGGCAGGAACATTGGACAAAACTTTGGAATTTACTATGAACATTTGCCTTAAATACAATAAATTAAATTTATGTTAAGAATTGAATATATATTTTTAAATTATATAAATGAATATATAAATAAAATTATATAAATAAAACATTAACAAGATGAGAGTTCCGGCACCTTTAAAAAAAAAAAAAAAGCACTGCTAATCTGTAAATCTCCATATTCGATCGATGCCAATCCAATCCGTTGCGTGTGATGTGACGTATTTGTATTTGACATGACAATTCGTCAAGGCTCGGTACAGTGCGACGAGATGCGATTATGAGACGCATGCGCTCCGCACAGGAGAATTGTTTTGAGAGAGTGCACTGTGCGCAAGAGTGCGCCGCGTGCAAGTGGCTTTGTTTACTTCTTATCGAAACACGACACGGCACACGCACATGCATTAGACTCACTTCTTTCTCAGTGAATATTCAATCATACACAGGTGAGCACAATAATTCACGTTTTAATTCATTATCTATTTAATAATTTCCAAATAAGTATAATTTTATTTACAAGTTATTGTTTCAGTTGTAATAATTAATTTTATTTATTCATAATGAATGTGCTTGCATCGCTCGTGTAGCTCTATATTTTATTTTTAATTTTAAATTTCATTTAGGGATGGAAAAATCAAAAAAGAGGAAATGCCATTTCAACGATAAATTGAATAAGGAATTTCCATTCCTCACATCAAAGAAAGATAACATTGTTTCCTGCAATATTTGCAACGAAGAATTTTGTATTGCAGTTGGGGTCAGAACAGCTATTACGAAACACTTGACCACCAAGAAACATAAGCAAACATCAGATGCATCTGCTTCCAGTTGTAAAGTAACATGTTTTTTTTAAACTTCAAAGTATTCTGGAGATGAAAAACAGTTAGCTGCAATGGAGGGAACATTTGCATTCCATACCATAATTCACAATCAAAGTTTTCGTAGTATGGATTGTACAACTAAATTATTGAAAAAGTTTCACGATGCTAAATTTTCATGCACCAGGACAAAATGCGAGGTTATTATTAAATCAGTATTTAAAAATTACTGTAACTGTCAGGAAGTTTCTCCTTAGTTCTAAGTTGCTTCTCTCCTTGATCAGTTTCCATCCGTTGCTTCTCGTCCCGCCTTCAGATGCTTTGGAGAATAGCTTGACTCCCTCTTCTTTGTGGCAACCCCCGAGATATTGGAACACTGCTATCATGAACCTATCATGAACCTATAAAAAAAAATAGATTGTGCAAACACATCTCATCTAATATGTGTCAACTGCAAAACAAAGGGCAAGGCTATCACAAATATGAACCACCAAAGGAAATGTCTAAATTGCCATCATTTCTCTTCCAGTTTCTTCTGGGTAAGTAACCAAAACCTACTTCACCTCAACTAGTGTTGTAATTTTCTTCTGTTTGAACAAAGAAACCACAATAACTTTCATTAAGACACAAAGGTGGAAGGGGAAGTTCTCCCTAGATGTGTTAAAAGTTTGTGACAAAATACTTACAGAAGTCTTGGAAACTGCAGCATTTGTAACAGTTTTATCTGATGCATCCAATCATAATGAAAGTAAATTGTATCCAATACTAGTAAGATATTTTAATGTTACCAAGGGCGTTCAAGTAAAAGTTTTAAATTTAGAATCCATTGAGGGTGAAACTGCTGAAATTTTGTCAAACCATCTATACAGAGTAATAAATGAAAACAATTTGAAATCCAAATTTGTTGCACTAACAGCTGATAATACAAACACAAATTTTGGTGGGCGAAGACGCAAAGGGGTGAATAATGTGTATGTAAAATTACAAGATTTACTCCAAAAGAAAATACTAGGAATAGGTTGTAATGCACATATTTTGTCAAATGCAATCAACACAGCATCATGTGCCACGCCAATTGATATAGAAGTAATAATAACTACAATTTATTTGTATTTTAGTCGTTTTACCATTCGTGTGGCTACTTTAAAACAATTTTGTGAAGAAGCAAATGTTCAATACAAAAAACTTTTAGGATATTCAAAAGTTAGATGGCTTGCTCTAACACCTGCTATAGAGCGTGTTCTATAATTATTTGAGCCTCTCCGTTCATATTTTTTAAGTTTTGACAAATGTCCTAAAATCCTAGAATCGTTTTTCAATAATGAAATATCTATTAATGTATTTTGTACATAATCAAGCATCTATTTTTCACAAAACAATTCAAAAGATTGAAGGTGAACACATTTCAGCTACAGAAGTTAGTCTTATTTTGAATGACTTTATCCTTCAATATAAAACTCGATTTGAAGAAAAATTTCTTCCTTTAGTTATAAAAAGAAAATTGTCAGACTTAGAGGAATTTATTCTTGTTCAATTTACATTGTGCTGCCCTGGAACTAATGCAGCAGTTGAAAGGGTTTTTTTCAATTGCTAATGATTTTTGGAAAAGTGAGAAATCGAGAATGAATGTTGATACTCTAGCTGCAGCACTTGCCGTAAAATTCAGTATGAAGGATATTTCTTGTTCAGATATTTCCAATATATTGTTAGAAGATGATACATTGACAAAAAATATTCATTCAATGGAAAAGTACTCATTTAAATAATAATTAATAGGCATGTAAGCANTTTTTTCTTCAATTTATTTGTGTCCTCCTTTTTATTGTAAAAAAGTTGGTCACCTTATCGTTCATAACCTATTTTGCTTCATAATTCCATCAATCAACATGTTTCTTGGCTCCCATAGATGTAACTCCACACTGTTTTAGAATAGAAATCTTTCTACTTTCTTCCAAATGGCCCTTTTCCTTAAATTCACTTTCCATTCGTCCTGTTGGACTAAAGAGAAATTTCCTGACACTTAGAACAATTAATCAGTGGAAGGACTTGCCTCCAGAAGTTGTGGATGCTCCAACACTGGGTTTTTTAAGAGGAGATTTGATAACCATTTGTGTGAAATGGTATAGGATCTCCTGTTTGAGCAGGGGCTTCCAAGGTCCATTCCAACTCCATTATTTTTTTTATTAATCTATCTTAGAATATTTTATACAATACTTTCCCCGACAGTCATATTATTTTCATTCTAGTTCTTTTTATTCCTTTCCCTATTTCCTAAGTCAGTGATGGCGAACCTTTTAGAGACCGAGTGCCCAAACTGCAACCCCAAACCCACTTATGAATTATTGGGTGCCGGGTGGGTGTGGCCCATTGGCTGGGTGTGGCCAATTGGGTGGGCGTGGCTGTGGTGCTAATGGCAGACTGGGTGGGACTAAAAAATTCAATCAATCAATTCCAACTTTGCAAGATCTTTTTTTTCCCGCGAGAAGTTGAAATTGACTGATTGATTGAACCTTTTTTTTTTGCACACGGCGGTGGAGGCCTAAAGCAAAAAGGTTTTATAAAACCCAGCTGAAGGCCTAGGACTGGGGCGATGGTGAGCGTGCCCACAGAGAGGGTTCTGAGTGCCGCCTCTGGCACCCGTGCCATAGGTTCGCCACCACTGTCCTAAGTCAATATCCCCTTTTAATATAATAATAATAATTTTTTATTTGCGGTCACAGACCAAAATGCAAGTGCAACAAAAAAAAATACAAGAAAATATAATCACAAACAATTAAACACCAGAAGCCTTGGCTAAAGGTAATTACAACGTTCTCCTCTAATAGTTACAGCTCTTAAAAGAAATTTAGAAACCTGAGTAGTAATATAGGGGGAGCCATCCCCTAAACAATATAAGACCAAATTACTAACATTAAAACCAGAGGGATCAATTCCAAGGAGAGACAGTAATTTAATTCTGCCTGTGTTATGCATAGGGCAGTATGATAAGACATGCTCCACAGTTTCAATTTCATCCCTATCACAAGGGCATAGTCGCTCACTAAACAGGAGCCTCTTGAATCGCCCGTTGAGTAGTGCTGAGGGCAAGAAATTTAAACGGGCCAGGGAAAAGACTCTTCTATACTTATGGATGGTTAGAGTATAGAAATATGAAGCCATCCTCAATCCATAATTATTAGAATGGCTGAAGATCAAAGGGGAGCAGGTTTCGTTGGCTTTGGTCCCTTTTAATATTACATTGTGACTGTTGTCACACTTGTGATGCCTTTGTAGCACCTGCAGGTATTAATTCTACCTATTTCTGCAATCAATGTTATTTCTTCACTGTGGTTTTGGGGCCCCACAGTTACAGTGGAAACCTAACCATCCCAGTTTCACAAGACATCTGCGTACCATATTTGGTATAGGACTATTTCTTTTTTTCCTCTTTAATCCCACCCCCAAATCAACTGAGCTCTATATAATCATTTCAATGGCACCTCGTAAGTCAGAAGCTATTTCTGAAGAAACTGGTAACTATCACTCAACGCAGGATTACAATTTAAGGTAAGTTAAAGATTAACCTTTAACCACAGAGTCCTCAGCCTGTAACTATTTACTTATTCTCTCAGGAAACTGAAATTAATTTCCACCACAGATAAATTACAGGTGGTCTTTAACCACAACTCAGCCCTGTATGCCATCTTAATTGCAGATGACCACTAGATGTCAGCAGAGAGTTACAGAATATTTCTTTGAAGTTATCTAGTTACAGGGCTTTACAGGGCTTTTCAACCTTTTCACAGATTGTACCACTTTTAGGACATGACAATATTTGAGTACCACCAGTGCTTAGCAAGGTGTCAAAAACTTGATGACTAAAGAAGGGGGGATTTTGGGTTTTATTGATTAGATTCATTTGTTGTTATAGAAATTGCTAGTTTATAATATTATGGAAAAGTAAAAAGTTGAGGTTCAATGTTAATGCTTCCTTCTACTGCAACAGAGGAAGTCTGTTCTTTTCCCCTTCTTCCCCTCACTTTTCCCCCTTTTTCCTCCCCACTGTGTCCTACTATTTGCTTTTGTATTTTTGTATTTTATTCTGCAATCTAATAAAATATTACAAACTGTAGAAAAAAAGGAAAAAAGTACCAGTTTTAGTTTCTTCGGTGGCTATTCCTTTGCTGAATCACTTTCCCTATGCACTGACAAATGTATGATGAATTTATCCATGTTTATTAATATGCACCAGTACCAGCTATCTCAGGGGTCTTCAAACTTGGCACTTTTAAGATTTGTGGACTTAGCTCCCAGAATTCCTCACCCATCATGGCTGGTTGAGGAATTCTGGGAGTTGAAGTCCACAGGTCTTAAAGTTGCTAAGTTTGTAGACCCCTGAGCTAGTCAGTCGGCCCTTCTTCCTCTTTCCCTCTCCTCTTCTTCCTCCCTGCTTTCTGAGCTCTCTGTACCCCAAAGCAGATGAAAATAAAATATAGTCTTTAAAATTTTATTCTATTCTTTTTTTCAACGCCTTTCTTCCCAAACATGTAGAAGCTGCTTTTTCAAGACAGAGAAATAGTTCCAACAAGACTCTTACAGGAAAAAAAAAAAAAAAGCAAAATAGATTGAAGAGAGGAGCCAAGAAAAAATCTCACCCAGGTTCACCACGGTGGTTCTCAATGCTTAGATGTTCTTTGACTTGCGGTTTGGAGCAGCTGGGTGATCGGCCATTTTACTGGCCGATCTTACTTCTCCATCTGCCCTCAGAGATGGCTCGAACAGCTGGAGGAGCCGCCACTCCTCCGCAGCCGAGCAAAGCCTCGCCGACAGAATTCGCACCCTCCAGGGTGACTTTCGACCCACATAAGGGTCTACAGGCGGAGGGAAACTAGACAACGAGGAGACGAGTCTTTTTGTGCGACTAGAGATGCCGCGATCCGGAACCGGAAGTCCTCTTTCTGATATTTTGATTTTGATGTTTTGTGTATTCCAAATTGTTGCAAGCTGCTTAGAATTGCAAATTGCAGCATGGCGATAACTTAGAAGTTCATAAGTAAATATTGCAGCTCCCTCCCCCCCAAAAAAGGCAGTAGCAAATTACTTACATATTGTTCCCCCCCCCCCCAAAAAAACCTCATAAACTCCCCAGGAATCAAACTGTACTTGATTGAGTCTTTATTCTTAGCTGTATAGTTCTTGGTGCTGTCTGAGTTTGGTTTTTTGGTTGCAAGTCAGTGTGGGGTTTGCTGCCTGCTTATATATATAAAGTAGCTTTCCCTGCATGTTTTGGTGGGGTTTCTCCATATTTGGAAACTACACCCCTTCCACCCCTACCACACACACACCAGCATTAGCAAGGCAAGCTACTGCATATAAACAGGGAACAAGCCCCACACTCCCTTGCACTGATGATGTAATCTAGTTGGGTAATGAAACATTTGCATATACACACACAGCCAAGCTTAGGAAGCATCCAGAACTTCACACTTCAGCCCTGAGCTGCAGATACTATTTTCTAATTTTCCTTATTTTTAAAGTATGCTGAAATAAATTTAACAAAGTGGTTCCTTTACACATGGAATATTTTACATCAAAAAATGTAACAATGTGTCTTAATGCCTCATTGAAATGATATGGTTCCATGAAATGGATAGATGTACTCTCACTTTTATGCTTATAGTTTCTTAGTTCTCCCTTTTTTCCTCTCTCTTTTTTTTCTTTCTTACTCTTCCCCTTCCCTTCCCTTTCTTCTCTCTGGTCCTCTTCTGCAGATCCCGATTTTGCCATCATGACCGTCTCCAGGCTGCTCCTCCAGCTGCTTGTTCTTCTTGGGGTTTTGCTGGTGCACTACGGAGAAGCCGCAACTTACCAAAGTTTTGCAAAGAGCCACATCGATCATCCCAAAACCAGAGCCAATAATCCAAACGCCTACTGTAACCAGATGATGCGGCGAAGGGGGCTGACTCGACGGAGGTGCAAACCCAGCAACACCTTTATCAATGCCCCTCGCAACAGTATCATAGCAGTTTGCGGAAGTGGCGGAACACGCTATCAAAGAAATTTGTACGATAGCAGGAGCAGTTTCCCAGTGACCCATTGTACTAACACCGGAAGATTCCCAAACTGCAATTACAATGGGCGTACTATGAACCGGAGGGTCCGCCTGGCCTGTGTCCGCAGGAAGCCTGTTCACTTTGAGAGACTTTTGTAACAGGTGGTGTATAACAACACACCTGCAGAAGTCCAAGAATGCGCTGGTCACAGCATGCGAATGCTCCCTTGCTACTGCTCTTTCTGCCGCAAACCTCTTAGTGCATGTCCACCAGCTTAGCAATAGTTCTTCCCCTCCCCCTCCCACTTCCCCAGCAAAGTTAACAGATCACAGGACCAAGTTGAGGAACTACAGATCCCCATTTCAACTACTTCTTTACTCTTTCCCTGCTCTTCTCCTGGGTTTTTAGATGAATTTATTCACATCCTAGATTAAAGATCTACTTCATTAGGATATGAGCTAGAGAGATTGTTGCCTGGGCAGATTATTTCAGTCTACCTTTAGTATTTCCATTGCAAATTCATGTTCTGGGGGTGGCTTGGAGGTCTATCAATAGTCAAGAGACAGCCGTCATATCAGGAACATGAACTTGTGAGTCAGCCACACTTGCCTGTAAATCAATATGGAAAAGTTTTGAACAATCAGACATGTACGCAGCATTAGAGATGTGTGGTTCCTTGGGTTTGGAGGGGAACATGGAGGTGGGGAGAAGCACATGTAGGTACTACAAGCTTTTCAACCAAAGTCATGTTTTCCCAGGATCGCTCTAGATGCTTTAATGTAATGTCTTCTTGCAATAATTTCTGTGTCCCATCCAATTAACCAAAGATTGCTGTGGTGTACAATGCCAACACGGAGGTTGTTATTGTCTACATGTGATTTGTTCCAACCCTAAATAAGCTGCTGCAGCTTAAACTGTGCCTGCTGATTTCTCTGAATAAACTAGATGACTGCAAATTGCAAATAACGAGAGTGTTTGATTCTAAAATTTGTACTTTCTAATGCAACTGGTTCTGAACCGAGTAATTATTTTCTGCTACACCCTTTGAGAAAAATGCTGCTTTGCTTCACAGACAATACCACCCCCATTCAGGGGATCTACAGCTGCAGGGGCTCTACAGCTGTAGGAAACCTTGGGTATAATTCCCAGGGACCTTCAAAATTACCAGTTGCTCAACTTCTATGGCAGAAAATCATTAAATTCACTGCTGAAGAAGAATCGCCATAATTTATTATTTTAATTTAACATGGTAAGGAAATTAAATTTCATATCTGCTTTATCTCCACCCAATGGTCTTTGGGGCACAGTGTCCAGCAGGCCACCAAAAGGCCAAAATGCTTGGAAAAAAACAGTGTATGCCATGCCATCCTAACTAAAGAGGATCTATTGCAGAAATTCAGTTGCGTTGCTAATACATTCTGTACATGCTTTCTCCGTTCCATCATATTTATGGAAAGTAATTCAGTAAACGCCATGAGTTTTTTGGGGCATCCGCAGAAGGATCCAGCCATATCACTCACTCTGTTACTGTCTAAGAACCTTTTTATGCAGCAATACTAACTCTGGATTACATTGTAGGATTCTAATAAATCACCACATTCACTTCAGCTTCTTCTACGTTCCCAAGCTGCACATTTTTCAGTGAAACACACAAGGTTTTGATGGAAGTGTTGATTCGTTGCATATTTTTTATGTTGGCATGTTATTCCACTTTCCTGTCAAGAGATCATGCCTAAGGACACATAAAAAAAAGCTGAAGTGATTAAAACCCAGCTAAAAAAGCCATAATGCAATGCAGTAAAATGTCTTTACCTAACCTAACTGCATATTGATACAATGCATACTGATTGGTCAATTCTAAAGTGTGAAAATAGTAATGAAATGCTTGAATGACTTTCAACATTATTACCAACCATACCTTTCAACCTGTTTCCCAACAGACTTGCACGTATAGATTATGGAGAAACTAGCTCATTTGCAGGCTCAGATAATAGTTGCTCCTCTATAGTTGTTCATTTATAAGAAAAGGTGATGACAAGGAATCAAAAAAATCAACATCTTAAATCTAAACCTAAACCAAAACCAAAACCTAAACCTAAACTAATAATAGTAGTAATAATAATAATAATAATAATAATAATAATAATAATAATAATAATAATAATAATAATAATAATAATAATAAAGTTGGAAGGGACCTTGGAGGTCATCTAGTCCAACCCCCTGCTCAGGCAGGAAACCCTATACCATTTTGGACAAATGGCTGTCCATTCTCTTCTTAAAGACTTCCAGTGTTGGAGCATTCATCGCTTCTGGAGGCAGGTTGTTCCATTGGTTCATTGTTCTAACTGTCAGGAAGTTTCTCCTTAGTTCTAGGTTGCTTCTCTCCTTGATTAGTTTCCATCTGTTGCTTCTCGTCCTTCCTTCAAGCGCCTTGGAAAATAGCTTGACTCCCTCTTTTTTGTGGCAGCCCCTGAGATATTGGAACACTGCTATCATGTCACCCCTCGTCCTTCTCTTCATTAAACTTTATTGACTTATTCTCCAAAGCACCAGTGAAAACACTTAATCAATGAAACATTTTGCCACCCAGAGTTGTGGGCGCTCCATTGCTGGATGTTTTCAGATTGGACAACTATTTGTTGGAGATGGTATAAGGTCTGAAATCTTATAATGTAGTGGGTTGGACTAGAAGACCTCCAAAGTTGCTTTCAGCCCTATGATTTTATGTTTATGTCTAACTTTTTTCATACTTTTCCTAAAGTCAATTCTTAGCATTTGAATATCTTAATTCAGTAACAATCTAAAGTGTCTTGTAGATGCAGGAATGGTCCAAAGAACCACACTGCACTGACTGGGAAGGACCAGGGAAGACTAATTAAGCAATTTTAAGGTGTTTTTTCTCAATCTGGTTCTACTTTCCAGATGTTAAAGAACATTGTCCATGGTCCTCAATCTGGAATGTTAAGAATTGAATTCCAATGCATAACCCATATTTGGGGTTCAATGTGTGGGACTGCTATTGATTCCATTATGACCTCTGCTATGAGTTCTGAAAATGGGGATTCCATAGGTATTCCTTTGATTTGTTGATATGTTTGCCCATCAAATTGAAAGTATGTGGTTAGGCAAAGGTTGATGAGAGGCTGCAACTGGCATTCCAGGTATGGGTGTGCTTTCTATAGGTCCATTAATAACAAATGGACATAACTATTTGTTACCAAGGGACATAAAGAACTTTCATAACCAACCTGGGATGAACCTTCCATTCAGATCTTGGCAAGCCCTAAAAGATCAGTTAGAAATAATAGCAACAATATTCATATATATAATTAATTGCATTCAGCCGCTCTGACAGCTGTCTCCACCCCCAACTCACTCAATTTTTCAATTTTCTCCTCTTTAGGCTCGCTTCAAGAAGAATCCAGACAATTGAAGATGACACTTGCAGCCCTTTTCTCTTGTCAAACTGGCTGTTACAAACTGCAAAACTATGGTTGTATGAAGAGGTTTTTACATCCTTTTTAGATGTTCCCTAGTTTTGTAACCTTGGGTGTAGCAACCTTCTCGAGGAAAATATCTGCTGAATTACACCATGGGGATAGATGAGCCCAGTGAAAATATTTCATCTCTCACACACATACACAAACACGCACACACATATGCACATTCTAAATCATCCTTAGAATTTAACCCCTAAACCTTGTGTTGTTAGAGCTACCAACTTACAATAGTGGCAAATATCTGTAGCTCGGGTATAGGGTGAGGGTGAAGGTTCATTCTCTGAGCTTGTGGGTTGTTTCTGAACCTTTCGTTACCAGGCTAGGTAACGTCTTCAGCAGAGTTTAGGGGAGGTCTGTGTCAGCGTTCCTCTGTTTATAAGGGCTTCAGGTGGGGATGTGTCAAGTGAGGGTCTGTGGTAGGTCTTGTAGTAGGCCAGGCGTGAGTCATCTTGTGGTAGGCCAGGTGTGAGTCATCAGTGAGAGGCTTGTGATAGGTCTTGTGATAAGGAGATTACACCAGTCAGGGTCCTTGGGAGGTGACAATTAACAATTGTCAATAAGAAAGACAAAAAAGTCTGGATAGTGGCAGTGCCTGGAGACAGCAGAATAGATGAGAAAGAACTGGAGAAGATAACAAAATACAAAGACCTACAAAT